CCAATAGCTGCTGTTATATTGGAAGTTGTCAGAATCACCACATTTGGTGACGATTTCAACTTGTCTATCTGTGTAAGTAGCGCATTGACAACCTGTAATATTACAGTTCAGAGTTTTATAAGCATCAGCTGAGTTTCAAAACTACTTGCCTAAACAATTTATAAAAACATATTCTCTCGGCTTTCTTCTTTCTTCTTTCTTCTTTCTTCGTTCTTTCTTTCTTTTGGTCAGAGAGGGTGATTAAGGGAGAAAAGAGAGGGACCATACAAAAGGCAATAGCATACCCTAATGGAATCTGAAGGTTCTGAACCAGACAAAGCAGCCTTTCTAGCAGCAGCTAAGCTTTCCACTTCATCTACAGACAGCAAAATATAGAAATACTGATGATGGTGTAGAAGAAGGACAAGCATGAAATTAACAACCTTCTAAAGTATGTCTCACCAATCAAAACAAATACCAGATTGTCTTCTTCCTCTATCATCTCTTGAATCTTCTGGAATAGCTTTGCAACCTATTAAGGAAAACATGTATTCTTGAATACGATAGAGCCATAATGCCCGACAAATGGAAGTGTTCGCTGGGTCAAATTTAAAACAGTATCCAACTAGAATGAAATGAAAATTATTTAAGGATGCAGGTCATCTAATAATGAAAAAAGCCATACCAGCTTGCCACTTTCAGAAAACCATTTGCTGAACAGTGAATGTGCATTAACTTCAATTAGTACGCTGTGTGGATATCTGAATATAATGGAAAATGGAACTAATAAATAATAAGGGTCATTAATAATATGGAATACATACTGAAGCAGTAATCGACCAACAAACCTTGACAGATATCTTATCGACAGTTTTTGAGCCAGTGCTTTGCATAAAGACGTCTTACCAGTCCCTGGAGGTCCATGTAATAGGACAATCCTGTGCACACGTAAACAGACGAGAATTATATATTAAACTCCTCGATCTATAGGTCTTCTACAAGCTTTTCCATCGTGTAAAACATGGCAAAGCATCATTGAAGGCACGGTAGCGCTTTTAAAATCCTGGAAGGCTAGATGGCAACATCAATAGATGAAGTTCATGATTTTCACACAATTTTGAGTCTAGATTAGGATTTTGGCGGGCCATTTCTATTTACATAGAGATGTCCTTTCTTTGGAGGATTCATTCTAAAGTGTAAAAATTGTACCGAAAAGGTCGAGAATACAAAATGAGAGTCGGCTTATCAGCCAGTAAATACACGCAACAAATTTAGTAAATATATATGGTGCCAAGGATAATGGTTTTCTGTTATTAGCTTTCTTTTTTTACTTTACTAAGTCAATGTGTGTCAACTAAACATTATCCTTGGCACCATATATATTTACTAAATTTGTTGCGTGTATTTACTGGCTGATAAGCCGACTCTCATTTTGTATTCTCGACCTTTTCGGTACAATTTTTACACTTTAGAATGAATCCTCCAAAGAAATGAATGGATTCCAAGACACTAGGAATGGATAATGTTTTATATCCTCCCTTGTACATTTTGAAAACCATCCTAATGATCAAACAGAAAAGACTTTCCTTACCGATTCCAAGACACTAGGAATGGATCGACACCCTTCTCTGTGAATAACAAAGCACTAGCAGCATATCGCAGAAGCCTTTGCTTGAGACCAGACTCAAAAATTAAACTGCAGGTGAATTTGAAAATGTTACTTCGTCAAAAGGAAGCCTGGGTATCAATGAGGAAAGAAAACTAGAGACAGCTTACCTTTCCCATATGCCGTCAAACTCCTTGGCAGGAAGTATCCATTCATTAAAACTAGAAATCTGTCCTTCCCCACCAAGTTCCTCGCAGGGTCCTTCTTCACTTAGCTGACAAGCAATACACAAATACTATACATCAATCTAACCGCACGAAGAGAAAGTAAAGTCCCGACATAAAGGAAATGAAGAATGTAATAATAAATAAAGGCCAAGAATGCAGAATAGTATTACAATCGTGTATTGTGAATAATAAAGCTTTCTAATTTGATGAGATAAAATTTGAAAGGAACAAATGCGGTCACTTGTGCACCAAAAACAGTTAAGAGTTCATAAAAGTTGAACGAACGCAGTGAAAATATCATCCATCGAGTGAGTACCGAAGAAGGCATGAGTGAACTTCACCTGAAAGACATGAACGACAGGTTTGACTTGCCAGAATAAGAGGATATCATGGTTTTGCACACCGTCGTCTACCAAAAACATAAATCCAGAATCATAACCAGAATAATGAAAATCCACCTTTTTCTATTAATCTATACCCGCTGACGTTACTTAAAGGAAGAATCACACTCTCTGCTAAGAAAAATTCCATTTTCCGAGCACTTTAAGCCCTTGGCCCACAGGCGGAGGAATTACTTTGTAAGCTAATTCTTCCAGAACTTCTAGAAACTATATAACTGACAAAATTAACATAATTTCTAGAGAATTCAAGTCACTATTTCCATTACCCATTCCATACCCTCTAGATTCTCTATGCCTAAACAATGCTAAACTGAAAGAATACCAGAGTCGCAAATTCGGATTCCTTGCACGTTTTCCGCGAGAAAAGCGTCATCGAGCGGCACTGGAATGGGCCCATCAACATAGCTTAAACTTCTCTTCTCAAGCATTCTGTAAATTAAAACACACAAAATTGACCATGAGTTCCTCATCTTCGAGCAATGTGAATTGACTTGAGCGCACTTCAAGTTTAAGAAATTCCAGAGAAACAAATGAACCAAAAATCTAATCTCCCTAACCAAATCATCATATATCAGAAAGCTTAATACATATTTCCAGTAGCATACCTCTCAACGGCCATCCGGACATCTTCAATCCGTGCTGTGCTGGAGGATTTCAAACACACCTCGACTAAAATAATAACACAACATTATAAAAAAAATAAAAAGTAGGAAACATCTCAAAGCTCGGAAATTGAAAACATATACAAAAATATCTGAGACGATAAGGCACAAAAATAATAAGAGAAGAACCTGAAACCAGAATTTTGTCTTCATTTACTATAGAAGAAGCAGTTGACTCGGAGATGATGCCATTTGATTCAGGCACCTGCGCATCTAAGGGAGGGTTTGGGAGAGAAATCTCCATAGGAGCACTCATCTTTTTCACTGGAAGGGATGGAGAGGGTTTGAGAAAAGTTGAAGATTCGTAAGACGCGGTGAAATGTATAACATGGAACCGAAATAGCGCGGAGGAGTAGAGATCGGCGGCCAAACCTACCGGAAGAAAGCAGAGAAAATGGGAGTATTGGCTCTGGAAAATAGGCGGGAAAATACAAAACGGAGAGAAATCTCTCCGTTCGAATAAGGAAATTAAATTAAATCTCTCAATAATATGGATACGTGCCCTAATTGGCTAAATTGTTTGAATTTTTTATTTATAAGAAAACCATTTAATTTTTTTACTTAAATTTAAAATAATCTAGTTGTAATAAAATTTGAAATCACATGTTTTAGTATTTTTAAAACTTTAATAAATCTTAAAATATTATAAAATATATTACATAAATATTAAAATTTTCAAACGGAAGCTAAAAAGGATGTGTCGTTAAGTTAAGCATCATGGAAAAACCAGCTCACTGAGCTGAGCCGAGATCACTAACTAATACTAATAGAATAGAAAAGAGTTGTCTTTTCTGTATACTTTCCCCGGTTCCGTTGCTACCGCGGGCTTTACGCAATCAATCGGATCATATAGATATCCCTTCAACACAACATAGGGCATCGAAAGGATCTCGAAAATCCACCAAAGCACAAAAGCCAGAATCTTTCAGAAAATGGATTACTAGCAATTGAATTATCTCCACGGGCTAAAAGATTCTGGTTTAAGCACGTGGACACTCTTGAGCTATCGAAATTGTTCTGTGAAACTCATTTCATATTTGGTATTTATTCGTCAATAATTTTTTATTTTTCGTTCAATAAAAAGTAAAAATAAGAAAAAATCAAAATATGGAAGTCCAAGTTCTAAATTATTAGAAGATGAAAACGTAGAAACAAAATATGAGGCTGTGATTGGGGCAGGAGATGAACATAGCTCCCATTCACCAACTTAATTTAGAACGCCCAATACAAAACTCACAAACAAAGAAAACACCATGAACATGAAACCAGTGGTTGAAGACGACGACGTTCGTCTCGAAAACCTCAAGGCGGTGGTGCAGGCATGGCAGAGTCACACTGGGAACCTGTGTTTCCCAACCGAATAATGCTCTGAACAAGCTCAGAAGGCACAAAGATAACTGCAGACTTTGAAGCGATGTCAAGGAGGATCTTCGAACAAAACTCAGGTAAGGGCTCCGGCAGAGATTTCAAAACCAAGGGTGAAATCGAAGGGGTAGAACTTCCAGTGTATGATATCGAGTGACTCTAGCAGTGACGCGCCTTACCGTTTCTCCATATTTAACCTGTACGGAAAGAAATGTGAGGGGAACAAGTCATAAGCATGCTGATTCCATTAAATCAAGACGAGAATTCCAACCTGAAACACCATATAAGTATACGCCATGGCTTCAGAAACCTAGCAGAACGAGCGTCGCAGAGGGGTGGGTCAAAAAAATGGGAACAGAGAAATATGAAATTTGTTTGTGCTCTTGATTTAATAGGGCGTGTTTGGCTTATCGGCCAAGAAACTTTTCGACTTCTTCTCGTGGTTTCTTCAGTGAAGGTAACACTTCAAATCGGTTTTGGTTAATGGCGGACCATAGAGCTTTCATTGAACCCTAAACCCTTCATTGAAGCCTCTTTCTCGCCAGTTCTCAAAGAGCCTCCTCTGAGGAGAGAGGATAACTAATTGGGTGACCCATTATTATGCTGAAAATGAAAATGTAGGGTCCACAGCGTAAAGTACCCAAGATCCCTCTCGGAGAACCCAGATATGAGGCTGTGATTGGGGCACGAGATGATCATGGTCCCCATTCACTCCCTTAATTTACAACGTCCAATACAAAGCCCACAAACAAAGAACACCATGAAGAACAAAGCAGTGGTTGAAGACGAGGATGGTCATCTCGAAATCCTCAAGGCGGTGGCGCAGGCCTGGCAGAGTCACACCGGTACTTCAAAGCCTGCAAGTGAATTCGACGCCCATCGCCGCAATTGCAGAGCCAATCCATCTCGGTTCAAGCTTGAAGCGATACGAAGCCGGTCTTCCGTCGCCGGCATGAGGAGATGGGACTTCGGACAGTCGCTGTGGGATTCGTACGAGATTGTGGCGGTTTCGAAGAAGCTGGAGGCGGGGTTGGTGCTCGACGGCGACGGGTTTCGAGAGGCTGATGGCGGTGGGCGGAATCAGAGGAAACAGCGAGAGAGTTGTAATAGTTTGAGAAATTTGTTCAATAGAACTTCGAGGAGATTCAATTAGCCATTATTCGAAGTTCCAACACCGAGGAACCGATGAATGAAATCTCAACTTCTTGATAATCATTTTGAGTGGTTGAGTTCAGATTTTTTAAGATTTTGAATTTGTGGCTGATCTCCTGGTTTTATCTTCACAATATATGTAGACAAAACCTGTATAACCAGAAATTTAACCAAAAAATAGAGCACGAACTACCACCCCGGGATGAGATGCCTTATCGATATCAATCAGCCAAATCGATACATAAAAAAGTTCAAAACTATACCCATGAACACTAATAATTCTCACAAAAAACAGAAACAAACACAAAAGAAATGACATCTAAGAAGATAAATAGGAAGGTTCAATCTGTGAACTGTTCTATAGCTTCAAGCCCAGTCTCTTCATGAAAGTACTAAACATCACAGCTACAAGACAAACATGAGTTCTAGACGCTGAATTGAACAAAAGTTCGAATGACATATATATATATATATACACACACAACTTTTACAATGACAAAAGACAGAACAGAAACAGAAAAGGACTCAAAAAAACCTGGTTCCAGAGCAACAGTGCCATATCTCTTATTCTGTTTGGTTGTATTATGTATTTACATTCTAACCCATAGTTTTGAGAGAGCTTTCTTCAGCTAAGCCTTCTCCCCATATAGAAGTTCCATCACTACTCGCTTCATGCTGCCATTGTTCTTCATCAGAAGTCTTTTGTTCGTTTCCTTGTCGATGAATCCCTGTGTAGTGCCACATATTTATAATCATAAACCAAGACTCCAGAAATCAAGGATTAGCAACTTCGTTAAATGACTTACTAACCATTTCCTCCAACTCATCAAGCATCGGATCCCATTCGGAAACTCCACAGAGTTCGTCCACCGAGTGCTCTAGATTGTACTCGTTCCTCTTCAGTACTTCCTTGTTCAGATCAACCTGTTTGAATCCCATATCCTGTAGTGTTTTAAGAAGATTTTCTTCAACAACGTTGTTAGTAGTGACTTTTTCAGATGATGCTGGAGAAACCTTGGGGGATGGTATTGGAGGAGGTGGGTTTGCGGCTGGAGTTGGTACAGAAAGATCAATAAGAGGGTATGACACAGAGGGAACCTCGGTTGAACGAGGTAGAACTCCATGGCCATCGACAGCAGGGCGAGATGAGACTAAGTTATCCTCAGTAGCAGAAGTATCAGGACTCTTCCCAACTAGCATATCCTCATTTACTAGGAACTGTAGCTCTGTTTCGCTTATAGGCACATTAAGATCAGGTTTTACTAGTTCGGTTATAGAAATGAAATTACGAGGAGGGAGAAGGACACCGTCAGAAATTGAAGGAGCAGAAGTATCAGGACTCTTCCCAACTAGCATATCCTCATTTACTAGGAACTGTAGCTCTGTTTCGCTTATAGGCACATTAAGATCAGGTTTTACTAGTTCGGTTATAGAAATGAAATTACGAGGAGGGAGAAGGACACCGTCAGAAATTGAAGGAGCAGAAGTATCAGGACTCTTCCCAACTAGCATATCCTCATTTACTAGGAACTGTAGCTCTGTTTCGCTTATAGGCACATTAAGATCAGGTTTTACTAGTTCGGTTATAGAAATGAAATTACGAGGATGTTTCGCTTATAGGCACATTAAGATCAGGTTTTACTAGTTCGGTTATAGAAATGAAATTACGAGGAGGGAGAAGGACACCGTCAGAAATTGTCAGGTTTTACTAGTTCGGTTATAGAAATGAAATTACGAGGAGGGAGAAGGACACCGTCAGAAATTGCAGGAGTAGCATTCTTTTCTACTCCTTCATGGCTGTTTGAACCAGCACTACCTATGACTATGGAGGAGGATAAATTTGAGTCCAAAGCTCGGGAATGCTCGGAATCTGGCATCCCAAGTGCTGCATCAACCTTCATGTTCGTAAACAATACAAGTTAAATTTAAATATGGTGTAATTATATGAACTTACTGCATATAATGCATACAGCACTAGGAAAACTGAGATGTGCACATAAATACCTGAATAAGAACCCAAACACGTTGTCCAAACTTCTGGCCAGATGGAGACGCCATAATCCAGTAAGAGGTGTATTGACCAGAAAATGGAGGGGCTATAAAGTCAACTGCAATGTCAATTTCCCGACCCGGAGGAAGTCCATCAGCAGGAACCTGACGCAAGTGAGGATGTGAGAGAAGTCTTAGAAAATAAAAAGGAAAAATAAGTATGAAGAAATACAAACACCAGAAACCAGAAAACCAAATGCCCATTAGACTAGCATTGAAGTTAAGAACATTTTTCTACCTCTAATTCGACCGATTCTGAACGACTGAAATTATCTCCTCCAGTCCATACTAGCTGTGTACCACGAGGCCAATTTACACTCCCACTATTATACAACCTCCATATCTTGGTAAATGGGGTACAAGGAGGCATCACAGTGCCGTCCAAGACATTAATGTCGTCTACAAAGCGACTATCAAGTTTGGTCTGCTTTCCAGAACTTATCAAAGCATTGATTATTTTGGGGCCAGGAAATGGAGGCTGCGTTCAGAGAGAACGGAAGTTAAAAACAAAATAAAATTGCTAATGACAAAACAAAAGGATGCATAGAAGCTCTGTCGTGAAAATTTCATACTCTACGATAGCAGGATTTCATTCTTGGACGCCAGTAAGAGACAGGACGGTCGATCCTAATGTAGTCAGCCTCATTGCCCATTTCAGCAAAGCAGACCATACAGAGATCATAATTATCTTTCCTGAAGAGAAATACCAAAGACAGAAAAATTGGGTAATTAGGAACAGATAACAAAGGGAAATAAAAGGAGAATAGCTAATAATAGGTTTGTGTTCTATTCTTACACTTGGGACTTGAACCGTGGACCAGTAATCGGATGGGCTCCACAGCCATCACAAATAACACCTCTGTGGAATATACTTCTCACAGGTTCAACGTAACCTCGGCTGCTAATTATTGGATCTTCATGGAGTGGTTCAATGTAGCCACTGCTGCTGACATTTGGACCTTTATGGAACTTACTTCCTGCAGATTCAATGTAACCACTGTTTACTGGATCTATACCTGCAGTTCCAAGCATAGATGGTTCGGTAGCCGCAGGTAATCCACTAAAAGGGCACTCGTTGACGAACCTACCATCCCTATCAGTGGAAGGTGAATTATGTGGTTTAGTGTGCACTGATGCAGGAAGACCGCGTACATGCATTTCATTGCGTTTTTCTTCCTCCTTTCCATCAAAAGGGCTGCTGGAAGGGGCAGCAGTAGCTGATTTCTCAATAGCAAATCCAGAAGCAATAGAATCACAAGGAAGGGCATTAAGATCAACAGCAGGTCCAGCTATACCAATGTTCTTCGTCATGCTCTCACTGTTAATTACCTTTCTATCTTTATAAGCTAAACCAGCGCATTGAACGTCATCGTTCCTTGAAGCTTTTGAATCTGCTTTTTGATGAAAGCCATCATTCTTTGAAGCTTTTGAATCTGCACCTAGAGAACCCGTAGAACCCTCAGTGACCACATTCTGTGTGCACGTCTCTGGAACAGATGAGGCCTGGGAACCTGTGTTCGGGTGTGTGCTTCCCAACCGAATAAAGCTCTGAGCAAGATCAGAAAACACAGGGCTAGCAACTGCGGCTTTTGAAGCGATGTCAAGGAAGACCTTTGAACAAAATTCAGGTAAGGGCTCTGGCAGAGATTTCAAAACCTCAGAGATACCAGGACGAACATTTTGAAACAAACGTTGGCCACTTGCTGACATCATAGGGGTAGAACTTCCATCTGATCTATTATGGGATTGGTCATTTTCCTTATTTCTCAGATGCACATCAATTTTCCAGAACTTCAACTGTTGCCTCATCATTTCATGCAAATCATCATCATTGACCAAGGTCACCACATCACCATCTTCATCAATATAAGTCAGCGTAAAATCAGTATCAGAAGAGAAGTTGAAGAGATTAAGTATCTTTGCTCTCAAGCCATTGATGTCAAGATCCAGTTTATTGTTTCCATGGGCTCTAACACTGAAGCGCCTTAGCATTTCTCCATATTTAACCTTTAAGAAAAAAAAAAATCACAGGGGAATAAGTCTTCATCATACTAATTGCAAGTAGGTAATCGCACCAGTTTTTTTCTCACAGAAAGCTGCCAATTTAAGCCAAAATTTATTGCCACCATTTCCCCTAATAGAACATGGATCTCTATAAGCTTTGCCTATTGATGTTTTTTTGATGCCTTGGTGTCAATAAGTAGTAACATGCTTGATCATACATAACCAATAGGCAGCCTTTCTCTTGAAAAAAAAGGACAAAGTTAATATTATTCTTCTATACTAGGTGTCACAATCCGCGATAGGATTGTGCCCCAAGAAAGTCATCGAGACGATGACAAGCGAGGGAGAATGTCACAACCATACTATGACCGTGACACTCGGCGAGCTGAAAAGCCCTTTGTCCTCAATGTGCCCTCCTCAAGGGGGGCACGTGCCTCTTACAAATTAAAGACACTATAAACCTTGAGACATAAAAATGCACTTCATCTCAATAATACCTCGAGCATAGGCCTCCAAAGCCTTCTAAAAAATAGATAATGACAATCACTTCCCAGCCGACAAAACAAAAAGCAAACGAAATGCACTTGCAAACAGAATAAATGGGGGTTCGTACTGTTTCTAACAATGACCACGATACATGAAGAAAGCAGACATCCATTACAATGCAAAAGCCATTTAAATATGGATTTCATATTCGGTGCACAAAAAGTATCAAGTATGTATGAATCTGTGCTACTCCTAGCTCGATATTGCCATTATAGATGAAAGGAAGCCTTCGTTTATAAACCCACCGACATGGAAATTGGAACAGCATAAATTAGTGATTTTAGGTATAAAACATCAATGGATTTGTCACTTTCAGAGTCAAAAGTACAAACCTATTGATACGAAAATTTGAAATAACATACAATGATCAATTCATAATACCCCAATTAAGTCAGTCAACCTTCTCTGATTTCCCAATTATCGATCTGAGCTTGCCTTATTTTTCTCATCAAACAACATATAATAAAGGCCAAAAGAAATAACAAAATCCAACGAAATGAACATAGAGGCTCGCTCAAGCGAATTGATTATGAACAATATCTTCACACCCAGCAAACAGAAATTCATAGAGATCAACAAAAACCCAGTTAATAATAAACAAATCTCCTCTGGAGAACGATATTTTCAACACACCCAAAACTAGACATCACATACACACACGCAAACAGGAAAAACACAGCGATGATGATGATCATCATCATCATCAAGGAAACAGGAAAACCCCAGTAAAATCAAGACGAGAATTCTAACCTTAATCACCATAGTAGACTCCATGGCTTCAGAAACCCAGCAGAAGAAGCGTCAGACCGGGCGTCGCAGAGGGTGGGTCAGAAGATGGGAAAATGGAAGAAGAAACAAATATACGTATAATACTAAAACCGCCTATGTGATCCCAATTGGGTGAAGATTTCTAATAATATAAAGAAATGGAAAGGTTTTCTGTAATTAAAACTTGACTAAAGGCAGTTGGATCTTTTCTAGAAATATCGTAGCAAAATAACCCGAAGAATCCTATCCGTAAACCGGTATCATCTCGCTCAAAGCTCTTTTCCCGAAATCTGAATGGGCTTCGATGAAAACGAGAAATTATTTGTGCTTTTGATTTAATAGGGCGTGTTTGGCTTGTCGACGAAGAAATTTTTCGACTTCTTCTCGGGGTTTCTTAACGCGAAAGAAAGTTTCGAGGAATTAAATGCTAAAATGAAATATTTCCAATTTTTCATTCCAAATTAATTTGCCAAATTAGTGAAGCTGACCCTTCAAATGGGATTTGGTTAATCATTATCAGACTTGAATCACTATAACTATACCTTCGAAGTTCTACAATGTGGAATCACTATAATTATACCTTCCAAGTTCTACAATGTCATAATATAATTTTGTAATACGGGTAAAATTAATCCATTCTGAACCATAAAAAGAAAATATAAACTGAGAGTTTCTCTGGGGCTGGGCTGGGGCTTGGGCTTTCAGCTAATACGAACGAAAAAGCCCAAAATTTTGAAGGGGTGGGTCTCGGCTCTCAGTGCTATAAACTCTACCCAAACCCTAATTTTCTCTTCCTCGTCTCGCCGCTCCCTGCAAATTCTTGCAACCTAAAACTCCCTCGTTCTCTGACGAAATGACGACCCGCTTCAAGAAGAACAGGAAGAAGCGCGGTCACGTGAGCGCCGGCCATGGTCGTATCGGCAAGCACCGTAAGCATCCTGGTGGTCGTGGTAACGCTGGAGGTATGCACCACCACAGAATCCTGTTTGACAAATACCATCCTGGTTATTTTGGAAAAGTTGGCATGAGGTATTTCCACAAGCTACGAAACAAATTCTATTGCCCCATTGTGAACGTCGACAAGCTCTGGTCCCTCGTCCCCCAGGAAGTGAAGGACAAGGCTTCTAAGGATAATGCCCCTTTGGTTGATGTTACCCAATTTGGGTATTTCAAAGTTTTGGGCAAAGGGGTTTTGCCCGAGAACCAGCCAATCGTTGTGAAAGCCAAGCTCATCTCGAAAATTGCAGAGAAGAAGATCAAGGAGAATGGTGGTGCTGTTGTCCTAACGGCTTAGGTTTATTGGGTAACTCTTAGTTTTATGGTTTTGTTTCCAAATTAGTTTTGATATTTCTTGTGGGGTTCTTCGAAGTATTGGATTAATGTTGTCAAACTCTGTGTTTCAGTTTTCTTCACTTTGAACTCAGTCAGTTTTGAATGTTTTTCTTGAATTATCATTCTACTTTGATGTTATACATTGTTAATTTCGCTAATTTCATGGGGTTTGATATCATTGTTTAAGTCACTGAAAGTTGAAACTGCTACTTGCATTCTTATTCGATCTTACCCGACTCACTAAACAACTTGGTTGTCAAGAATCAGCTGGGCTCTTTGTTTTGTCGGTGACATTTACAAGATCATCATCATTTTCATCCTCGAATTTGTGAGATTTGGAAATAGTTGATTTTTCTGAGTTTGTTGCTACCTTCTTTAATGTCTAGTAATATCATTTGTGCTGCGAAGTTGTGGTTCAACCTTCTGTCTCAAGGTCTTATCATTTCATATCATTAATTCTCATTCCTTCTTATGATGGGATTACTGATCGAATTACCAGATTCATGGGACTCAAAATGGATTGTATGTGGGTGTTCCCGTGTTCAATCTTGTTCGCCTGGTTTTAAATCATTCTTGCTCTGCAGCTACTTAAAACTGCGCCATTTTCAGGCCATTTTCCTTCCAAAACTGCACTGTGATGATGTTCTATAATATTGGTTGAACCATATTTCTGTCTGCACTGAATCTATAGCTTCAAGTATAAAACCCCATTCATTCCAAAATCTACTTTGTAGCATTATTAGTAGCAACTTCTTTCATTTCTTTCCACGCAATCATCTTCAACGTTATTGAGCTGATTTGAACATATCTCTGCCACAATACATCAATTATCATTTCCAAAATTGATAGTTCTATTTCAAGTTTGTGTTCTATTAATGAATTTTGATTAGTGTATATGTTACATTGAAATAATAGGTATGGTGGTGGTAGAATCGTTTCGAGTTAGACTCACTTAGCCGAGATAAGCGTATATGGAATATTTAGAGTTTTGTTAGCCACTTTTAATACAAAGTTCTAGCACAAAACAAAAAATTCAATGTCTAAGTTAAGTCTTAACATGAAAACATGAAAGTTTGAAATAAGCTTATAATTTAACCTTCAATTGTTAACAGGTTCCAAATTGTGCTAAAAGAACGGAATAAAATTGTTAATAGGAGCCATGAAGGTTAATATAAAATTGCTTAGTGGGAGACGGAAGGGGCACACAGACACCGCCTCTTTGCGCCTGTCTCTGCGGTGATTCTTCACGAAGAATGTCTGTTTTTGCCAATTCAAGTTCCTTTTTCCAGTAAAGATTTCGTTTTTGTTGTGAATTGGAATGACCAAGCTAGAATGATCTCGAAGAATCTCAGATTTCTGCCGCCAATGGATTAGCTTTATTATCACAACGAGTTGCCTGGGGAACAACAGATTCAAGAACTTGGTGGCCGATGTCTCGAAGAATTTGGAATGTGCTTGGAACTTCGTTAGCAAGTGCGGCCATGGTGGGTTCTTCAGGCAAGTCTTCTTCGAATCTTCCATTTGGGATATGAAATGTGTCTTTCAATTTGTTATTAGATAGTTCACACTCGTGGGAACGAGCGGAATCAAAAGATCGTAGTGGAAGAAGGTGGGGGTTCGGCCGTTGCTTACATTTCTCAAGGATTAAGCCTTCCCTGATGCCCAAATTGCTGCTGCTAATGTTCTTATCAATCTAGCTTCTCTTCTTTTGGAGGGGAATACTTCAAATATGAAACCGTTCTAACTCCACCGCTACCTACCGCTAGCACATATTGTCTTCTTTGTGTTTTTGTTCTCTTTGAATTTTCACTTAAAGTTGTAAAACTCGTCCGGTAGGAAGAGGTTTCCACACCCTTGTAAACCCTTATTAGAAGGAATGATTCGTTCCCCTATCCAAACGATAATAGGGTCTCACAATCCACCCCTTTGGGAGTCTAACATCCTCCTCGTTGGCACACCGCCCGATGTTTCCGTCTCCAACCAATTTGAGATCTTACAATCCACTTCCATTGGTGCTTAGCGTCCTTGTTGGCACACCAGTCAATGTTTGGTGTAACAGCTTGAGGTCATCGCTAGTACATATTGTCCGTTTTGGCCAGCTATGTATCATCGTTACCTGCACAATTTTAAAACACGTATACTAAGGAAAGGTTTCCACACATTTATAAAGAATGTTTCGTTTCTCCCTCCAACCAACGTGGGATTTCACCGTGAAAAATTACAGAGCAAAAAGGTTGGGTGGCTGTGTTTAGCAAAGATTGTTGAGGATGTAGTAGAAGGGGAGTTGCATTACAGTTGCTTGATGACCGGGTTTTGTATATCAACAAACAACAACATTGTTGATCAACAGAGACATTTCTGAATTTCACTCAACTCCCACACAGATTCCGACTGGTATGCATGAATCCCGACCACATCGCATGATTTCTTAAAAAAACATGTTTTTTTTTAAGTTTGTTGTTATTATTATTATTTAAGCAAACAAAAAATAATTATGTTACATAATTTTTTTAAGGTAACCTCGTCAAGACAAAATAAAATAAAATTAAATTAAATGTTGACTAAAAGAATTATTTAAACCGAAAACGTGAATAACAATTTCTCTAATATTTTTTGAATTGATTATGCTAGTTTATTAAATATTGAAAATTGAAAAATTGAAACAAAACTAAATGAGTTATGTAAAATGTAGAATTAAAGTATAATTAAATTGATCAAAGCATTAATAATATTTTTTTTTAAGGTTCATCCCTTCAGGTCAATAATAATATAATATGGTTTTACACGTTTAAAATTCAAAATTTTTGTCTTATTAGTGGATTAAAATAACTAATTTGCATGTGGGAGTTTAAAAAACTAAAGAAAAAGGAGCAAAATAAGTAGATTAACATCAAATTAACATCAAATTAACATCAAATTAACCCGTTTACTCTCTAAATTTTAAAAATTAAATAAAAAGTTTTCAAATTTAATAAAATATGTAGAAGTTGTCCTTAAATTTTCTATTTTCTATTTATTTTACTCTCAGTTTTGTTTTCATTTGGTGTCTAAAATTTTAGATATTACTTTTTTTTACCTTCAAATTTGTACAAATTCTTTAAAATATAATATTTTGAAATTTAAAAACTAAATAAAACAAAACTAAAAAACACTATTAAAAATATTTTTTGATTTCTTCCAAAAAAAATAAAAGAAAAAAGAAAAAATAGGATTGTAGAATTGAATTTAAGGGGGAGAAAAGGAGGGAATTGACATAAGAAATTAATCAGGCTTAAGTGGGGATTTGATTAGCTGATTGACTTGTGATTAGCTGTTAATTATGTCCGGTCTTTTTTAAAAAAGAAAAAGAAAAAGTTTGTGCTTTTTTACGCAAAGAACAGATACAAACCCACCTCGGTTTAAGATTTTTTTTTTTTTTTTTTTTTTTTTTTTTTTTTTTTTTTTTT